TCTCTCTCTCGCACAGTAGTCATCAAAGACACAGCGGAGCTCGTTGTTGTTGCGACCGTCTTCCCATTTTATCTCTATCTTCCCTGCCTCTCTCTTGTCTCTCTCCCCTCTCCTTCTCACAGACCTCATCGTCGAAGACACAGCGGAGCTCGTCGCTGCTACAACCGACGGTCGACGCTGCGCGCGACAGATGCCAGTGACTCATCATGGCGCAACGACGACGGCTTTCCTTCGTGCGCGACAGTTCTTCTTCTTCTTCTTTTTTTTTTTTTGATGAGGTCATTAGGTGATGTGTGTGGTGATTGGTTTGGGGCGGTAGTTGGGTACTGTGTCCGGTGGTGGAGCTGTCGCGATGGTTAGGTGTGGTGTTGTGTGCAGTGATTGGTTTGGATGCTGTGGTTGAGTGTAGTGCTACGTCCGGAGGTTGGGGTGGGTGTGGGGGTGTGTAGTGGGTGCTGTGTGTGGTACGGTGGTGTGTAGTGGGTGTTGTTTTGGCGGTGGCGGCGGTTGGTATGTGCGGTGGTGTTGCTGGTGCGATGTGGTGATAGTGATGGTGGTGTTGCAAAAATGGTGGTGGTGGCGACGATGGTTGGGGCTGTTGTGATGATTTTTGTCGGAAGTGTATTGGATCTAGTGGTGGTGGCTTTGTTGGTGGTGCTGTTGTAGCTGTGGCAACGGTGGGATAGTGTCGGTGACCAATTATTTGGTTGATTTGTGACCAAGTATTGGTGATGGATCGGATTGAAGGTGATGTGTTTTGGTTTATGTGACCAATTATTTGGTTCATTGTGACTAGCTATTAAAATGCGACCTTAAAATTCGATACTTTGTGACCAAGAAATAATGTGTGACCTAAAAAATTGTTAATATGTAACCGATAATTTGATAATTTGTAACTGTCTAATAAATTGTGACTTATAATATTTGTGATTTGTGACCAATAAATAAATTGTGAAGTATAAATTTTATTTGTGATTGATGAACAAATTGTGACCTATAAAAAATTTTAATTGTGACTGTAAAATAATTTGTAACATATAAAACTTGTGATTTGTGACCAATGAATAATGTGTGACTTATTAATTTGATAGATTTGTGACCAATGAATAAATTGTGACATATAAATTTTTTATTTGTGACCGATGAATAAATTGTGATCTATAAAATTTTTGAATTGTGATCGTAAAATAATTTGTGACATATAAAAATTGTGATTTGTGAGCAATTAGTAATATGTGACCAATTATATGAAATGTGTGATCAAATTGTATGGAATTGTGACATTAATATATTAATTAATTAATTTATAAATAAAATTTAAAAAATTCTGAAATTTGAAATTTTAAACTTTGATCTTTTAAATTTGAAATTAGTGATATTTAACATCTTAGTTATGAAATCTTTCCATTATTTTTTATAGAAGAGTTTTCGAAAAAAATTATTTTACCAACTTTCTATAAAATTCTTTTAATCAAACAAAATACTTTCAAAGAATTATTCAAATATATTTAAAAGTCTCTTCTTAATTTCAAAAATAATTTTTGACTTTAATTTTATCCAATAGGTCATTATATAATTTTGACAATAATAAATATAATAATATTGTCAACAAAGTTGGAACACGAAAAGAATATAAAAATTTAGAAAATTGATACAATATAGCTCCTTTTTGGTGTTGATTAAAATCAGAGTTATAGTAAATTTTAATAAAAGTTGGTCTGTGAAATGCATGGTTAAAAGTAGCCCTTGTTCGAGAATCATTCTTTCAAAACTATTTTTTTTCATGAACTAATTTTTAACAACACAATTTCACAATAAAATATTATTCACTAAACCCAAAACTTTTTCCTACTTTTTGAAAACACATTCTTAAAAAATTTACCGTTCAAAAACTCCACCGTTTGAAAGAATGACTATCAAACAAGTGCTTAGTGAACTTTAATTAGAGATTTTTTGTAGATTTTAATCTACAACAAACAGGACATTGTAAGATGCACCCAACATAACGTTAAGGGAATAAAAATATTTATTAACATCATTATTGAAACAATACACTGACTAAATAAAAATCCATCTAATCTCTAATACTGGAAATTATAACCAACTGCCCTGATGCTTCCAAAGATGAAGAAACACTCAAGGATAACATATGTCAACTCCTACACTCTATGCAATGGAGACAGCTGAAATTCAGAAAAATCCCCAAACAGTATTGCAAACTCAGCTATCTAATCGTGCAAGAAAATAGTATCATTTTTTAGATATTACTCAAGACACCCTTTAAAAGATCTAGCCCTTCAGCAGATATGCTCCTCCTCCGATGTGATTTTGGAATTTCAATCCGAGGTGGAGGATTGGGAGAAAAACAAGCCACGATAACTGTTAGATTGTCGCAGGTGTTGCGTTTGAGTGCCTCCCTCACAAGCTCTCGGGAGCACTTATCGGGATCATTATGCAGCATCAGCTCCTTCCTTACAATAGTTACTGCACATTGGCTGCTCATCACGTCCCATAAACCGTCACAACCAATTATTATGAACTCGTCTTCCTCAGTTATAACCACCTCTTCCAGCTCTGGTTCAGGGCTTAACGGGCACTTTGAACCTTTAGAGCCCTTTATATGCCAGTCACCAAGAGCACGAGCAACTGAGAGTTGGCCATTTAGATAGCCATCACAAATGACACCCCCGAGCTTTTCTATCCTCAGCCTTTCGGAGGTACAATCAGGTTTGTGGTCTTTTGACAGTTCGATAGCTCTTCCTCTTTTCCCCAACACAGCCCGGGAATCCCCAGCATTAGCAATTATCATAGTCCTGCAAATTCAAATAGAAATGAACATGTTATTTTAGCACGTGTCAACACAGTTTGGTTTGGGCAGCTTTTGAATATTTTCAAACCAAACCAATTTTGCAGTTTGATTTGGTTTCAAACCACGGCTTTAGCGACCTAAAAATAACACAAATAATAAATATATTAATTGTTTCAATACAAACTTAAATCAATAAATTAATACAAGGTTCTACCGTAACATTTAAGCTTGCAATTTCATTCTTCAGGTAAAAAATTATTATCATAAATAAATTACTAATTTCCAAAAGAGTCAATAGAAGCCGACAAGCAAGTAAATTTACTGAATATCCTAAGTAAAATAAGTAAATTTTCTGAAAGAAATTGGGTGAACGGTTCAGTTTCATTTTAAGCGGTTTTAACTATCGAAACATAATAGAAACATTTCCAAACTGTTTGATTCGATTGAAACGGTTGAAACCTAAATCACGTGAACCAAAACCAACGGTTTCAAAACTGAGGTCCTAAGTTTAAGTGCCTTCTGGTGGCTTCCTACTAGCAGGATTTCAAACTTGCATAATATATTACTATCATCCATCTTTACATGTGTTATCAGAAACAACTACTGATGCAGAAGGTATTTCGGTTTTGTTGAATGAGCAACAGAGGAATTGGAGAAGATTATCTTGTACATATCCTGTTGCAAACTAAATAAGGAGAACATCAATAACAAAATCATTTATATGTGGATGTCATTTCTTTTTGCTCAGGTTTAAAAAATAATCCTTTTTTATTTATCAGCAAAGATAATGCAGAAACAGCAACTGAATGTTAGATAATCATGTTTTAGAACATCTATGAACGTGTCACTTGAACACAGCACCAGTTACATATTATAGGCTGATGTAACTTGAAAGCAGCTCAGTTGCTTACCGTTCTAAAATAAGAGCGGTCAGAGCCGTAGTACCAGAAGAACGATCAAGAGACTTAGCATCGGCCAGTGCATGATCAACTTTAATAAAAGCATTCCTGACTGCTCTTTTTACCCCACTTGGGAAATGGGCATCCTCACTAATGAATTTAAGGATGTTCTTTCTGGTGAAAGATGCAGCATCAACCCCACCATGACCGTCAAACACCTGTAAGCGAATAAGAAAGTCCGTGAACTCGTAACAAGCCCGTTAATGTATTATTAGTTACACAATTGAGTCATTTCCTGTCTTATGTGCAAGGAATAATTGGTCCCTCAACTCACTGAAACAATTCTACAAGACATACATTATCTAAGATTTCTTCTTAAATTTGTCACCTCACAGAAAAGAAAAGGTTTTGAATCAATCCAGAATTATGTCAACTTGTGAATTCAATCAACAAATATGCTAGGTGGAATATGGTTAAAAACATAAAATCAGGCATAAATATTGGTACTTGATCACGTCGAATTTATGCTTAATGTGAACAATAAGTTTTTCCATTTTCCTTTAAAAGAATTACTTCTTCATTAGTTCGACTCCCAATCCGGATAAGAAAAATAACTCTAAACAGAAAGAAAGTTACAGACCCCATAAAATGCTCCAGGAGAAGGAAAACTGTCAACCGCGCCAAGATGCTCACAAAGATTATCGACACAAACATACTCATCCTCCATATATTGCTTTGGTCCCTTCTCAGAACAGCTGCCCGAGCGGAAGGCAGGTAAAAATCCAGAATTCTCACCTGATGGAGACTTGAATCCAATGATTTTGATTAATCACATAAAAAATGTAAATTAGTTTTTAATAAGCCGTAGTACTAATAAAATAACCAATATAATGATGAGGAATATGGACTTTCACATCCAAGTTGTAGTTCAGTAGATGCAAAGAAAATCGCAGTTCAAGATCCGTTGAACTTGGAAAAAATACTTTCTCATTATCTCAGAAGATGGAAAACAACTTAAAACAAAAAACCGACTTGTTTATTTATATGAATCAATTTCACCCTCAACTACTGCTACAACGAGGCCATTCAAATTATGAAAGCATAGCAATTCCTGTAAAGAAACTAACTAGTATTACTATTTAAGCAATCTGTAAAAACTTGTTTTTTAAACCACAATATGTAGTATCCATAGATTGATCAATTATGGCCTGTACAGCAATTTGAAAATATAACTGTAAGATCAAATTATTTTCTTACAGTCAATTACGATTTTCTCTTCCTACTTACCTTATGGATAAGTAACGAATCTAAAATACTTTAAAATCGAAGAACTCCGCCCTTGAAATCTCTCAGTACAATGCCTAAAGCACACATTCTGACAAGTTAATATCTAACTCCGACCAATTACAATAGCAAATATGAAATTTAGTTACTACAAACTTGATCTAGTGTACCATCCAAATGTTAGAAATTCACATCCAGAAGATCCCACATCATTCAACAAAGTAAAAGATCTTATATCACAAAAAGAAACGTGAGGATTAGACATTAAGGATCTACTCACCAATTTTGAAGTACCTACCAACATTGCTTGGCTATTGCAATGGCGCATGACAGGAAGATTTCGAGGTGGCCGCCCTGGTTTTGCCTGGTTTGAGTTATCATATTCCTCATGATTTTCCTCTTCTATAAAGGGTATATTTTTATTTTCTTTGAAAACCCCGTTTTCAAATTCACCACCGCAACCAGGGGACGTATCGGTACCTGGAGCCATAATTTTTTTTCTCTACCACCCACCAATCCAATACATCAATACTATAATCTGCTTCGCCCCAAACATTTTATCTCTTTCTTCTTTGCCTTTTAGGCACAGCACATGGACAGCTGTACTATTGTTTCCTTGATTTGAACTCAACAATCGTTAAAAACTTAAAAAAAAAAAAAAAACCTATATTTTTTCAACTACATTAAGAATGTAGTGCTTCCATCTTCGGATTACAGAAAGAATTAAACGTATCGACATGTATATTTATTATAATTCGCCGAGTTCTTGAAAAACCTAAGTCTAGATTCGTGAAAAAAAATAATGTGACTAGAAGAAAGAGAAGTAAACGTAAGAGAAAAACCAAAGCATAGTAGTAGAAAAGGGAGGGCCGTTTATGTGGGAGTGGCGATCCCAGGTTTGAGCTTTCATGGCCGCCATTGTAGGGAGAGTGAGTTACTTACACGTGTACCCACCTCCTTTTTGTGGAAAGCTCTCCAGCCAGAATCTTTTAATTCGATCGTAATTAGCTATTATTGTATGTAATTAGTGATTTTGAAGTTTAGAATATCTTAATTTGAACCCAATTCAATAAATTTGGTGATTTTATTAGTTAATTACCAATCCATTCTCATTAAATATGACATTGTTTGTTTTCTAATATATAAAAACATATCTTGATACATGTAATTTGTTATATCTAGATGTTTGTTTTATTATATGTTTCACGTCATTCATAATAAGACTCACAAAGAATTACCTAACATTATCTAACTTCACATTGCCTTCTCTCGAATAAGCACATAAAACGCGGTCAAGTCTCAACAAATCAATAAGCATGCCCGATGCCTTGATTGGCCTCGCATGTTCTTGTCCAAGGTGGCAAGGTCATGGATCATCACTTAAATGGAAAATAATAGCTTGACGATGTAAATAAGGCTACAGATAGACCTAATTATTCTCGAGAATGAATTTATCCCTTAAAAGAGAGATGATTTGAGTCCAAAGAGGTAATAGAAGCTATCAAGGTGACATGGTCTTTGATGATACCATTCAAATCCCAAGTCCAATCTAAAAAAACCTTGGTCTCCGACCATGCACACTCATGCAGCCTTTTCCAAATCCTCGATCACCTTGGTGCTTACATGGTGTGTGCTTAGGCCCCCAAGTACCCAGGGCCAAGGATTCAACCACTTAGGTCTCCTTGCTATAGCCCAAGTTCCCCATTCCCTCTTGGGCCTCGTTCTCGATTATGTAAGGGATCCTACAATGATTCCCTTATGGAGTCCCATTCCATCACCTCTTTCATGTTCCAATCACTGTAGGAGTCTCATCCTTAGTGGTGGCAAACGAGCCGAGGCGAGGTTGCCCATGAGCTCGGCTCGTTACCCACGAGCTCGAGCTCGTGACTCGTTATAAAACGAGCTGAGCTTCTGCTCGGCTCGTAGGTGAGCTCAGCTTGGCCCACGAGCTCGTATTGTAGCGAGCCGAGCTGCTCGGCTCGGGCTTGCCTTTTTTGAATTTTTTTTAACTATCCTTCTTAAAAAAAAATAAATTAGACAAGCCGCTCGTCAAAAACGAGCCGGCAGGCTCGGCTCGCCTACCGAGCCGGCTTGCTCGGCTTGTGCTCGAGCTCGTTTTTTGATGAGCCCGAACGGCTCGTGGGTCGCTACAGTACGAGTTGAGCGGTCGAGCCACTCAGCTCAATTGTCACCACTACTCATCTTATCTAGTTATTCTATTGTCATACAACATTCTAGTTCTTATGGGACTACAGCTCAAGTCTATATATTTGACACTTATCGTTATTCATGTATGCCATATATTATTAGTTTATTTTTCTGTACATATATTCTTTCCATTTGTTTATTGACTAAGGGTGGTGTATTCAATTGGGACTTTTGAAGACTTTGATAAACTTTTTTTAAGTGACAACTTTTGTAGATTTCATGGATTTTTTAGAGATTTGTATGGAATTAGTAGAAGTCTTTTATGAACTTATAAACTTTCATTTTAAAACTTTTAGAAGTTTTTGTAGAATTCAAAAAACTTTTAAAAACTTTCATTTGAGATGGAATTTATATGGATCTAGTACAATATTGTAAAATTATCACATACGAGATGGTGGATCCAGTGCAATATTGTAAAAGCATCAAAGGGTTTTACAGATAGTTTGAAGGTTTTGTTCATGCTCATCTTTCGTGCATTTCCAGATCAATACCAAGTATCTCTAGTGAATGCGACCCTAATTTTTTCCAGAACATGAGGTGCTCATTTGATAGCAAAGCACTATAAATGTCAAAGATACTTTAGCACCAAAAGAAGAATGGCAGATGCTATCATAATCGAATTGAGAAAGCACCAAGACATGTCAGCGCCCTACTCCCTCAGCACGTTGCATAGCTTCTGCTCGGCTCGTTTGCTCATGGGCGAGCTCAGCTCGGCTCGTTTGCTCGGCCCACGAGCTCGTATTGTAGCGAGCCGAGCCGAGCAGAGCTCGCCTTTTTTGAATTTTTTTTAACTATCCTTCTTTAAAAAAAATAAATTAGACAAGCCGCTAGTCTGTGCTCGGGCTCTTTTTTGACGAGCCCGAACGGCTCGTGGGTCGATACAGTACGAGCCGAGCGGTCGACCCACTCAGCTCAATTGTCACCACTACTCATCCTATCTAGTTATTCTACTGTCATACAACATTCTAGTTCTTATGGGACTACAGCTCATCAAGTCTATATATTTGACACTTATCGTTATTCATGTATGCCTTATATTATTAGTTTATTTTTCTGTACATATATTCTTTCCATTTGTTTATTGACTAAGGGTGGTGTATTCAATTGGAACTTTTGAAGACTTTGATAAACATTTTTTAAGTGACAACTTTTGTAGATTTCATGGATTTTTTAGAGATTTGTATGGTATTAGTAGAAGTCTTTTATGAACTTATAAACTTTCATTTTAAAACTTTTAGAAGTTTTTGTAGAATTCAAAAAACTTTTAAAAACTTTTATTTGAGATGGAATTTATATGGATCTAGTGCAATATTGTAAAATTATCACATACGAGATGGTGGATCCAGTGCAATATTGTGAAAGCATCAAAGGGTTTTACAGATAGTTTGAAGGTTTTGTTCATGCTCATCTTTCATGCATTTCCAGATCAATACCAAGTATCTCTAGTGAATGCGACCCTAATTTTTTCCAGAATATGAGGTGCTCATTTGATAGCAAAGCACTAAAAATGTCAAAGATACTTTAGCACCAAAAGAAGAATGGCAGATGCTATCATAATCGAATTGAGAAAGCACCAAGACATGTCAACGCCCTACTCCCTCAGCACGTTGCACTAACGATGAAAAAGGTTGAAGACAAAAACTTGCCCTATTACAGATGCAATAGGATAGTGGGGTCTCCCCATTAGATACAACAACACGAGTCGTTGGCAAGATGAAAAGGATCGCCAAATTAGGGTGGATCTAAGGCTCCGTTTGATTGGCAAAGTTTTTCAGGGAAGTAGGAAAATATTTTCCTACTTTTACTTTTTTA